ATGAGTTAGGGCAAGATATTTGTCTCCTGTTGAGGATGAGAACATGGTCCTCACCCGACTGTCCCTATTGGTATTGGTATAATCAAATTTAAAATATTATTTAATATGTTTATATAATATAACGATATAAAATTATTTTTTATCAATAAATTTCTATTAAAACCATACTAATAAGCTTAAAAAAAAGTCAAAATAATATTAGAAAACCACAAAATCCACCACACGGTCCATTCAATGTAAAGTCCATAGTTTAAATAATAAGGTTGATCCACTACTCTCTCATACGGACCACTTGGCTCATATTAGATATGATTTTTTCATTTTTAGAGTTTCTTATTTTATGGGATTTTTTTTTTTTTTTGATAAAAGACATTCCAAAAAAGGCGCAAAAAATTGCATAGTGTAAACTGTTGTATAATTTTTCTTACTGCAATTTCACGCTTATAATTTTAGTCGACAAATTTTTTAATTATTCTTAATACATATTACTTCATGTACGTGCGTGTGTGTATATATATATATATATAACTTAATTAAGAGATTGTAAAGAAAATATTAACTTTGGAACTAATTTTCTGTAGCTAAAATCGATAACCAAATTAGAGTAGTAGGATTCTTTATTTTAAGACTAAGATCATACTAGACCATTTTCTTAAATCCAAACTAGAACAGCTATTCGGTTTGATTCTTGTACGATTATTGTAATTCCAAATAAAATTCCCCTTATTCTTGAAAAGTACCACATAATTATATCTACATTTCATGTCCACCCTTTCATTTTTCTAGTGCTTTGTTAATAACTCTGATTCTCAATTTTTTAGCTTATCTTTGTCCTTTGCCAAAGTTCAAATGGTTTGTATCAAATGGATGAAAATTGTTCCAAATGAATTCTTCGTGGGTAATTTTACATCAGATGTTGTTGACTCCAAATTCATCGAGACAAAGTTTGCTATATATTTTCCTATTTTAGCTTGAACGTTTCTTTCTCCTTGACGGATCACTTGAAGACCATGTCCAGATTTTTGGCAGCAAATGTTTTTTAAAGCCCTTAGACATGTTTGGTAGAGTAGAATGGACAAAAAAAAAAAGAAAGTTCAAAATCTTATGCATTGAGTCATGTGCTCCAATCCATTGGCGTGTACCAAACATGCCTTCAAATTTATGGCAGAAAACGAAGGAAAAGATCAATTACTGTGCAAAAAATACACCCAGATTGTGGAGCATCACCAGAAGGCAGCCACTCATCATCCTCTTCCTACCAATATGTTTCAAGTATCTTCCCGGCCTGTTCGCGTATTTTACTGTTGTCATGAGTCTGGAGGTTCTTAATCTTCT